CCCCCCCCCCCGCGGGCACTCAGGAAGGGGCGCGCTCGGCAGCCTCCCGCGCGCTCGGTCCGCTCCCCCCGTCGCCGCAGCGCTGCCCAGCCGGGAGAGGGTCTGCCCCCCCGGGCAGGCCGCAGGCTCCGACCCGGCGCGCCGCCGAGCTCCCCCTCCCCGCGCTGCACGCGCCCCCGGGAGCGAAGCCCCCAGTCTCACGGCCGAGGCCCAGGCGCGGGGTGGTGCGCGGCCGCGGGGCCTGACCGAGCGCCACGGCCGGCCCGGGGCCCTCCTGCGAGCGCCTCCTCCCAGGGGGGCAGGCCGGGGGGGGGGGCAGCAGCGAGGGGGCGGGACTTCTCCGCGGTGGCCCCAGCTGCGGGACGAGTCCCCGCTAGCGCCACCCTTTGGCCCTAGGGAGAGGCGGCTCCTGTGCCGAGGCATTGAAACACATCCAGGGGCTTACGCGCCCCTCGCCGGCGTTCCCCGGATCTATTCTGCGTCAGATGCGGCTTAGGGTGTTTTAAAGTTAAAGCACATTTCGGAAGGAGTTTATGGGCTACAGCATTTTAGAGCTGCAGCTATTGGGCAGTCCCGGAAAGCGGTTAGAGGCCGAGCCGGCCCCGGGCCGCGTGTCCCTCCTGGGGGAGGGTCCCCACATGCGGGGCTTGGCGAGGGACTGCCTCTAAAGGCTGGACAGCAGGAAGAGCTTCCTCAGTGTCAGAGCAATACGGCAGCGGGACCAGCTGCCTGGAGGGGTGGGGGGCTCCCCCACACTGGAGACATTCAAGGCGAAACTGGGCAGCCCTTTGAGTGGGAGGGTGTGAACTGGTGTCCCGCAACAGGGGGGTGGACCAGATGGCCTTCCGGCCCCTCTTCCAACTCTCCTCTTCTGTGAGTTGCGTCTTTTGGTTCCAGTTATGAATCTGCCTGCTTCCTTTTGCACAAGAGTAGCCCCATGCAGAGCGCTTTGCATTGCTCGGGTTTAGAGATAAACGGGGTGTATTGCCAAGGTCGGGCCACCTTTGACTGAATAGGGGCAGAGCTGGTAGAGGCCCCGAGCCGCCAGTCCTACCTGAGCCTCGAGGGGCGAAGATGGATCAAGAGCACCCCCGGCGATGGACCTGCTCCCCCGAGGGGGCTATGCCTCCACCCCAGAGCGGGCGGAGTTCCCGCCGCCCAGTCAGGGGACCCAGCTGCCTGGGGAGCGCCCACGCCGGGCCGGCGGGACAGTTCTGCCCACTGCGCGGGGCCGCTCGCTGGGGCAGGTCGAGCGGGAGCGAGCGCGCCTCGGGCGGTGGCACCGCGCTCTGCGCCGGCCCCCCACGCTCGCCTGGCCCGGCACGGCAGCCATTTTCTGAGAGAGCCGCCCCTCCATGGGGGGGGCATTTGTGGGAGCGCCCAGGGCCCCTCAAAAATACCGCAGTGCCCAGAGCGCAGGAGCCCCCCGCGCGGCCCCGCGGAGGGGGCGAGTCGAATTGCGATGGGTCCCGCCGCTCCTTCTCTCGCACTTGATTCGCATCTCACCCCCACGGCCGCGTCCTCCTCTCCTTCCTCTTCAGCCCCGCTTTGGATGGCTGCCCCCCCTCCTCTGGATGGGCTCCTCTCGGGGCGGCCGGGCGCAGGGCGTTCAGGATCAGGCCCCGGCGGCAGACACAAACCCCTCCGGGCCGGGCAGCGCTGCAATTGCGGTCGAGAAACGGAGCCCTTCCTCGCCAAGGAGCTGCCCCGGCAGTGCCCCTGAGCACGCACAGAGCGCCCTTCCTCGAGCAGGGAGCGCTCCCGCTTGGGATCGCGGCCACGCCTCGAGCGCAGCGCCGGCCTCGGGGGCGGGCAGGGCTCGTCCGCGGCGGGGCTGGGGCGGGCGGAGGGGGCGCGCCGTGCTCGGCGGCCGGGGGAGACCCCTCCCCCGGGAGGGCGCCGCGCCACCGCGCCTCCCCTTCCCCCGCGGGGCACCGGGGCGGCTTTGACGCGGGAGGCCGGCGGGGCGCCTGAAGGGCCAGCCTGGCAGGGGCCCGGGAGCGCGCGTGGCGCGGCCTGCTGCCCTTGCTGGGCCCCATCGGGTGCGCGCTCGACGCCTGCCCAGAGGCGCCCCCCTCTGCGCCCGGGCTCCGCTCCCCTAGCCCCGTGGACTTCCCGGCCGGCCTTTTGAAGCGCTGCCCTTGCGCCCGCCGGAAGTCAGAAGTCGGAGCCCACGCAGGATGCCACAGCTCCAGGGGCCACGAGTCGGACGGGACGGGGCCTCCCGGGTCATCTAGTCTGACCCCTGGCTCCGTCCCGCTCCACTCATGACTTGCCTGCTGTGTGCGTGTGCGCGAACAGCCTCACACCCACCGTCCGTGTCAGGAGAGCTGCGCGGGCTGCCTATTGGCTCCTGAGCCCCAGGCAGGGCTTCTCCTGATGCCCTTCAAAGCCCGGAATAGCTCAGGTGCAGGACACCCGACAGCTGCCCTTCACTGGCTGGCCGCCAGGACCCTTCAGGGTGGCCCCCCACGGCCAGCACAATGCCACCCCGTGGCAAGCGTCTGCCCCCTCACGCCGCGGGATGCAGAAAATGTGGCACGTCCTGCTCTGCATGATGAAAAGGCACATCCAAACCCCAGGATGGAAGGACCAGTCTCAGTCCACGGCGTGGCCCAACAGCCTGGCCCGGTGCCAGATTCCCAGGTCTTCTGCAGAAACTGTGTACAAAGTGTGCATTTTGTGGAAGTTTTGTCCGACTTTGTGCTCTGAAGGCCTCCGGTAGACAAAGCTTGTTTGTGCTTGAACGAGCTGCTGCGTTTGCTGCCTCCGATTTCCTGCTGGAAAGACCTTGTCATATCCGTGTGGGACACGTACGCAGAACACCCCTATGGGACTGAGCCGACGATCGTGATCACGGCATCCACGGGACGGAGTGGAAGCCGGGCACGGGCTGCGCCACGAGCGACAGGACGGACGCGCCAGCCGCCCGAGCCCCATGGGAAAGGGTTTCACCTGGTCCTTCCCACACGGTGTGCTTGATGTTTGCGTGCCCCCCCACCCCCAGCAAGGGGGCTGTGAGCAGGATGATATGGGGTGGCTTGTGCCGGCTTTCCACAACCTGGTACCCTCCAAGCGGTCACAGGGACCGGGAATGGGGGGAACTGCAGTCCGGCACCCCTGCCATGGTTGTGGAGCCGCCAGCCAGGACACGCCCCGGCGTCCCGCGCCCTCGAGCTGTGAGGCCAGCCCTGGCAGAGCTGAACGCGGGAGCCCCATCGTTGGCTCTGACGCCCCCATTCGCCCCCACCCCGGGACATGTGCTCAGCAGCCTCATCCCCCCAGTTCACACACACAGGAGACGGGGTGTGTGTGTGTGTGTGTGTGTGTGTGTGTGTGTGTGTGTGTGTGTGTGGCCAGCAAGGCAGGTGGCCACTGACAGCCACTGCTGCCGCCTCCCTGAATGTGTCCGACCCCCGTTGAAGCGGTGGCCACCGCTGCTTCTCGCGGATCCCACAGCTGGGCCGCGCACCGTGCTCTTCGCCTGCCCTCCGCCAGGCCCTGGTCGGCTTCAGGTGACAATCCGGCGGCTCCTGGGGGGGCTCTGCCCGCCCAAGCAGCGTTCTCTGCATCTCCGTCGTCTTATTCTTTCGGGAAATGGGCCATCCCAGGAAGGGCCTTTTTTGGGGAGTTGCGCCAGCCTCTCAGTCAGGTTAGCTGCCCTTTCCCCGACTCTGCAGTACCTCGTTTTTGAGATCCAGAACATCCATTTTCGATGCAGTGACCAGAACTGCAAGCTGTGCTAAGTGTGGTCACAGTGCCGCTCTCTCAACAAGCGGCCCGATTGTGGCAGCTTTTTCCAGGATGCCCAGGGTGGAGTCTCTCCTTCCCCTGCAGCTGTGCTTGCACTGGGCTGCCCGGCGCTCCCTCCCTGCCCTGGACAGTCGCTCGCAGCTGAAGCTGCCAGTTAATAGTTTAAGTGGGGAAACGCCAGGCTCCCCGAGACCAAGCCACACCCGCCATTTTGATGCCCGCTATGCCAGCCTGGAGGCTGTTTCGAAGCTCCTCCATAATCCCTTTTGGCTGTAACCACCCTAAATAATGTAGGGTCAGGAGCCTGCCTGGCCACCCCACAGCTCACCCCCAATTTCAGGTCATGAATGAACAGGCTGAAGAGCACTGGTCCCAGCAGAGCGGCATGTGCGATCCCCGTTTATATTCCTCCACTGGGGGAATTTACCGTTCATCCCCATTCTCTCCTTCGTATTCTTCAACCAGTTGGTGATCTCCAAGAGGCCCCCTTGCCCACCCTTTGGTGAGGGACTCAGTCGAACGCCCGGGTCTCCTGGACCACCCCAGCCACACTTTCAATGGACTCTGAAAGAACTCGAGAAGGTGAGGCGGGACTTACCTTTCAGAAGCCACCTTGGTACATTTGCAGCAGACATTCCTTTTACCTTTTTATCAGGCTTTTGGCCAATTTTCTCAGAGCAAACATGAAGCTAAAGGGCCGAAAACTTCCTGGATCCCATTTGGATCCCTCAAAAAGGTGTTAAATTGCTCTAGTCCTCTGACACGTTTATCGAATCAACCGCTTACTGAGTTTTTCAAGATCTGTAGGAAGGGCCTGCTGGGGATTTTCAGTTTGCCCATAGAGCGGAGAATGTTTTTACCATGATTTGCTCTGGTTCCTCAGGCTTCCCAGAAGCATCCGTTCCGACATCAGCGAGTGAAGCCACCTGAGCAGAATCCAGTCAGCTCCCCCACAATTTCTTTATTCACCTTTAGCATTGCTTTCACTTCATTATCTTCCAGTAGTTCAACTGCCTCCCAAGTCGGTTTCCTGCTTCGTTAATTGTTGGCTTTAATGTAGTCAGGGATGTGCTGCCTGAAATGCCCGTGCTCCCTTTCAGTTTGCTCGCTGGGGCAGGACTTCCGCTCTCTCTCGTGTCCTCCCTGGCAAGGCTCATTGGCCACGCTGGTAGCCGCCTGGACCCCCCTTCCTAACCTGTGGGCGTACGGCCCGGCTGAGCTGCCCCCCGGGCTTGAGCAGCCACCACGCACTCTGCCAGGAGCGGGTCCTTCTGGCACCTCCTCCAACCTCCGTTTTACTTTCCCCTTTGGAAGTCCTAAGCAGGATCAGACCGACAGGCTGTCCATTCCAGCACTGTTCCCACGGTGGCAAACCAGCTGCCACAGGGTCCCTCCGGCAGGATGACTGCAAGACCCCCTTGCCCGGGCTCCCCCAGGGGCCGCACGGAGCCAGCAAGGCCGGTAGCCACGGACAGTCTCCTCCAGGAATCTGGCAAGCAACAGTTGAGCGTGACTATGTGGCCTCCCGTGGCAACCTTCCACGCGAGTGCGCATTAAATCAGGGAGTGCCGAGGCCACTATTTCCAGGCTGCCCAGCAACATCTGCACCTCTTACGAGGCCCTGGGCTGCTCCACGGTGGACGGCTGGGAGCAATGGCACAGCGCCGCCGATCCCCGCGTCTGCTGCCCGCCCACTGCGCCTGGTCCAGGAGATTCCCAGAGCAAAAGGGAAGACAGCGGGAAGGGCCCCCACCTCCAGCACCTTCCGGGAGGGCTCCGGCTGACGCAGACATCGGTGCCTGCCTTCCGCCTGGATGAACTTCTGGGACCGAGGCGGCTCGGAGGAAGGGTGCGTCTCCCTGCCACGGGCTGGCATCACCCAGCGAAGGCAGCTCGCCCTCGCTGTGACAACACCCATGCTCGGAGCAGGGGGCGGGGGAGGTTAATGGAAGGCACAGGGCAGAGGGAGGGGACAGTCCTGCTAATGCAAATACCAGGCGGAATACGGCACCGTGGCAGCAGCACAGGCCACGCGCGGGGAGTGGGGGCAGAGCCAGCCTTGCAGCTGGGAGCCTGCCGGCTGCGCCGCCCAGGGGCCTCTCGAAAGGCGAGCTTGCCAAGCTGCCTGCTCCAGTCCACGGGCCCCTTGATGCGAAGTGGAGGGGCCCCCAGCCTCCACGCCCCTTCGAAGAGAAGATGAAAGGGGCTCTGAAAAGGAGTCAAACCCAACATGTGCTTTCAACATCAACAAAACTAGACCAGCTAGAAATATTTCAGTTTATTTAACTTGTTAAGTAGCTAGTAGTACCAGAGAGTGGACTGTGGCGTATTTCACTGTTTGGTGCTTAATGAACACAGCTTTTACAAAGGATCTTAGAGAGACTTGTACAGGAGGGCCACGCCCGGGAAGCAAATAAAAAGCGCACGTTTAAACAAGATTATACAAAAAATCCGATGCATACTCCATATTCCCTTTTTGATAATGTTAGAAAGTGCAGATCTGAAAACGCAGCCATTTCTATTTACAACACTAATCAGTACACCGAAGTGCGAGGAACGAACCTGCACCGATTCGTCCCTTCAAGTCGCTGGGCTTCCGTCTTTGCTTCACCAGCCACTCAGCTGAGAAAGGTTAACAAGCACCGGGAGAGGCAGGCTGCCCACCGGAGGAGGGAGGAGTCGCGACACAGGAGCGCCGATCAAGGCGGGAATCCGACACTCTCGTTCTCTTAGGATCAAAGTCAGCATCGAGGGCTGGTGGAGCCCACCGGCGAGCTCCCTTCCTAAGAGCACGTGCCAAGCGTCCGTCGCCGTCTGGGGGTCCACGGGAGGGGAGGGGAGGGCAGGGCAGAGCAGAGGGGCCTGCAGGACACACGGCTGCACGAGCCCCCGGAGAGGGAAACCCAAGGGGGTTCGCCCTCCGCCCGACGCTGCTCTTCCAGAAGCGGGGGCCCTTCCGCCGTCCCGAGACAGTGTCCCGACGGCCCTTCGAGCGCAGCGGCCCCGCGGAGACGCGAGTGCCGCCGTCCCCACGAGGCCGGGCCGCTTGCGCAGTCCTGCAGCAAATGGTGTTTTGCTGGCCGTTCTTCAGTATCGGTGGAAAGAAGTTACAATTGCCCAGGCTTGTAGACAAGGGAGTTTTATTGTGAAGAATGCAACACAGCAGGAGCGGGTTCTGGGGGTGTGACCACTCGACTCACCTGCCCTCTCCCCCCCCACCCAACTTTAAATATTTCCTAGGCTACTGAGTCACCTGCCTGGAGCAGCAAAGAAAACCAAATTCTATTCATGGCTGCAGATTTGGGAGCCGCGTGGCACAGTCATACACACAGAGAGACGACAGCCACACCATCCTCTATCGAAAACGAGTGCATGCAATTAACTCTTCCCTATCATAAACCTCAGTAACTATGCGGGGGGAGGGGGAAGTAGTCGGCCTGATGTTCGCTAGACAAAGGTTAGTAGATACTTCACATTTCACCTCAGAAAGCTAGATCCATGATCAGTGCTTTGAAATTTAAATTTGGCAAACATACCGTCTTGCCTTCTCTTAACACATCACACCATAAAAAAAATTAAAGCTGGCATGCAGGCGAGAAAGGGGGGATTGCTAGAGAAAGAAAATGGCGGCAGGAGCCGGTCAGCACTGAAGCCCCCGGGACACGGGACCGAGGGCGGGCAGCGCAGCGCAGCGCACCTGCCCAGGCCCCTTCGCCCTCCGCTCGCTACGTCAGCCGCGGCCGAGTCAGCGCAGGCGATCCGATGGCCTGGCCTGCCTCCACCAGAACAGAAAGAAGGAAAGGGAGGAGGAGGAGGAGGAGGAGGGAGAAAGGGAGAACCAAAGTTCCTTTCCACATAAGGCACAGGACAAAATAACCCCATTTACATACTCAAGGCGAATGAATTTTTGCTGATGCAAATATGGTGATTTAAGCACAGAATCATAACAAAACCCCACCGTTGTACAAAAGAAACTGTTAATGCTAGGTTTTATTCTCGTACAGTTTGCAGTCTGGAGCTGAAATGGTTGCTCTAAATTTTAATGTTAAGACTGGGCTATAATACGACAAGAACGTGGTGGAGTTCAGGTGAGCAGGTACATTAAAAATAAAGTCAGACATGATTTTAATACAGTTTGTTTCGAGAAAATTATAGTCAGCAAGGTCTCCCTAAGAGAACGAGGAAAGGTGGAGCCGTGTTAAGATGAGGAACAAAAAAATTCAAGGTTAAAAATGGGCAGAGTGGTTTTTTCCGCAGCAGGAAGAGGAGGGAGGGGGGCGCCTGTGGCCCCCCCTCAGCAGCACTTGCTCTTCCAGCCCGCGACGCCGGCCCCACTGCTGATATCTACATTTTCACTGTTGGGCTCTTTCACAGGGGTCTGAAACAAAGAAGGCGCACAGGAGGTGAGCCGCATCCAGCGCCGGGCCCAGGACCGAGCGGACACGGCGACCGGGGGGGGGGGGCGCCTCTGTCAGGCACGCCTCCCCGAGAGGCAGGCCACGCCCCGAGGGCATCTCCGGGAGGCGCTGGCCCGGGGAAGCACCCCTGAGGGCGGCAGCTGGCCATGGAGGACCCCTGGGACCTGGGCGTGCCGCAGTGACCTGGGGCGGGGAGTGCCCCTCACGCTCGCTGCGCGAGGCGGACCACTGCTGGCTGCCCAGGAGGTCACGCCCCCGACCCAGCCGCACCGCCGCAGCAGGACGTGTCTGCCCGCGAGTGCGGCTCCGAGAGCCGGGCCCTCTGCGCCTTGACATGCCCCGGGTCAACGGGAAGGCACCTACCGCCGCCTGGATGGCGCCCGAGGCCACACTGGCTCTGGCTCGTTAAAGAGCACACCAGGTCGAGCCTCTCCTTCGCCCCAGGCACGCCAGGGCCTGCGGCAGGCTGGGGTGCACCGGCCAAGCTGCTCCGGGCTCTGCTGGGGTCCCGGCCGCTTGGCGTTCTCCCGCGGTTTGATGGGGCTTTGCCTCTCCGGCATCCGAGTGGATGCGGGGGGGGGGGGCATTGGGGAGCAGCCGACAGGCAGTTGTGAGACGCTGGGGCACGTGTGTGTTGCACACTGCAGGTCACTCGGCCGCGTCACTCAGTGCAACTGCTCCTCCCGCAACCCCACGTCCTGCGCCGCGACCCACAGAGCCATTACCTTTCGGAGAATGTCTTCTGCTAACGTGAGGAATGCCTTCTCAATGTTTATATTTGCTTTTGCGCTAGTTTCGAAGAACCTGATGCCGTGCTCCCTCGCAATCTAGGTCAAGAAAAGGAGGTCTGTTAGGTTGGCGAGCGTGCCCAGCGACGGCTGCGCCTTGGCACCGGGCATCTGGCTCAGGTCGCCCCAGGAAGGCAGCAGGGAAGCCTCAGCACCGGGGCCCCGCAAGCGGGTTGCCTACAGCACCGTGATTCAGCAGAATGAATGCACCGGACACCCTGAAACGTTCTGAAGCCACCTCAATTCAAACACCAGTTGCGGGCCGATGCCGTTCCCCCATGCGTGGGGAACCCTCTCGCGGGCACACGTGCGGGAGGAAGGCAGGCGCACACTCACGCTCTGCAGAACGGCTCAACAGCAACCCCGCAAAAGCGGGAGGGGAGAGCTTCCGGGCCTGCCCGGTGCCGGTGCCGTATCAACGCAAGCAACAAAGAGGTCAACTCAAGGAAGAACATTCCATCATTTAAAGAGCTGGGCGTGCTGTTTACTTTTGGGCAGAGCGAGGCTGCAGTTCCGCAAACCAAACGCCTGCCAGGCTGGGGCAGGCAGCCACTGGGCCAAAGGACGTGCCCGGCTGCGGGCCGGCTACCTGCAGCCTCCCGGGCCTCAGCCCAAGCCTGAAGCAACGCCCCTGGGCAGCGAACGGCCGCGGCACGCCTTCCGGCCACGCGGGGGCCGCCCCCGCAGGGCGGTGCTCCCAGGCCGCCCCGGGGCAGCCCCTGCGGGACGGGCACTCACCTGCTCGCCTTTTGTTTTGGGCACCACCCGCTTGTCGTCCATGTCGCACTTGTTTCCTAGGAGCATCCTCTCCACATCTTCATTGGCGTGCTAGAGCAGGAGCAAGGACAGCGCTTTACGTTTCCACACAGGACTGCAGGCGTTCCTCCCGGCAGCCAGCCAGCCAGCCAGCCGTGCCACCCACCGCGGCGCGTGCAGGAACGCAGCAGCGCTGCTTAAACGGGCAACTTGAAATCAGGGAAGAAAAAATGGCTGCTGCCTGCGAAGGGAAGGTGCTTTATGGACGGGGCAAATCTTTTCTAAACTGCTGTCGTGGCCTGAGTTTGCTTTCTGCTGTTCCAAGGGTGCCTGGTAGCCCAGATGCCTCCGTCCCACCTTGCCAAGGCATGCATCTTTCGGCGATGAGCCTTATGAAGAAGAGGGCAAGAGGGCTGAGAGCCGATGCCTGGGCTTGGCATTAATCAACGTGATGCAGGAGAAGCACGCCGGGCCCCTGGCCAGGGAAGGTGCAGGAAACAGTGGCCGTGAACTCCAACACTCTACTAAAAGCGGAACAGGTAACAGGAAAGCAGATTAAGAACGTCGCTGGTGCTTAAATGAATGGAGGCAGTTTGGCGATGCACCAGGGCGCCTCTGGAGACTGAAGAAGCACCTTCCGTGGTTGTCAGAGGAGAGATTCCACAGATCTTAGAACAGAAGCGCTGAGCGTCGAGGCTGTGGGAACGAGGGGCCCTGCCTTCTGCAGAGGCCCAACCACCTCGCTTGGCCTGAAGAGCCGTTTTCGGTTCCACGGCCCTGACGGCCCAGCGCAAAGTCCTCCCCGCCCCGTGCTCACCTCATCAATGTTTCTCAGCCATTTGCTGATGTTTTCAAAGCTTTTGGCATTGGTGATGTCGTATACTAGCATGATTCCCATCGCGCCTCTGTAGTAGGAGGTGGTGATGGTGTGAAATCGTTCCTGCCCTGCGGTGTCCCTGGGGAGGCAAGCAGAAAAACATCCAGCCGTCGTGCAAAGCTTCAGGCGGAGCCTGGCCACGAAGGGTGGCTACGAAGTGGCCAGGACGGGGCTCGCGTCACGTCAAGGCCACGTGACTGCTCTCGGGGAGAGGCACTAAGCGGCCCAAGCGCCACGTGCGTGCCACAGCAGCACAAGGACCCTGCTGGATTGGGCCGGAGGATTATCTCCTCGCCAGGGGTTCTGGTCCCACCACGGCCAGCCAGGTGCTGCCTGGGAGCCCCCCGGCAGGGCTTCGGCACACCTCCGGTCACCCGGCAACTGGCGCGAGGCGGCCACGAGCACCGGGGGCCACGCAGCCCTCAGACGAACAGCTGCTGAAATCCGCATTCTCCTCCCGCTGCACGTTTGCAGCGACCCAGGGGGGAGCCACTGCCGCACCCCGAGACAGTGTCTTCGGTGGCTGCACTACTGCGCATCACTGTGGGAACAAGCCCGTCCTTTCACTGGCCCCGCACCTCCATGCTGGGGGTGCTGGTGGACGGGCTCCCACCTCCCACCGAGCCCCACACACTCAAAGTACAAGAGGGCCGAACTTTCACAGCTTTCCAAGGGGGCAGCCCACTTCCTTCGAGACGCAGGCAAAGGGCACAGGCATCCGCTCCCCGATCCCCAGAACAGGAGGCGGTCTGTGGGGAGAGACATGGCTTGCACCTGCGCTGCGGAGGAGGAGGGACTCCCGGGACAGACTCCACCTTGAGCCCCGGAGGCCCACCCTCCTGATCGCCTGCCTGGCACCCATTCAGTGCGGGCGAGGCCTTTATTCCGGCTCGCAGGAGTGAGACGGCCCACTTCACAACTCCTGAGCTGGCACTCCCGCTCTGCTTCCAGCTGCATTATCAGAGGGCTCCGGGGATTACGAGCAGGGGGAGGGCCCAGGGCGGACACCGAGCGCTCGCAGCTTGTGCTGAGCTACCAAGACAGATGAGGGATTCTGCTGCCTGCCGCCCACCAGCCTCCCTGCCTGAGCTGGCGGAGGCGGCCTTGGGCCTGATGCCGAGCACGCCCAGAAGGTGGCTCTGGGGGGCTCGATCTCCATGCCAAGTGAGGCTGCTTTATCTGGAGCAGCCCCGGGGCCCAACGCCACTGGCCCAACGCATTTCAAGGTCACACTCCTGACTAGCTTTCTCAACTGAACAGGGAGGGGGTGACCTGGGCGTGGAGGAGTTAACGTTGACGCTTTTGTCATGGTCAGACCACGTTAGGATTTTGGCTTCTTTTCTCCCCTACAAGGTAGCGAGACCTATTTGGATGGTCCACCCCAGAGACTGAGGGATCCGGATGGCTCCCCAAAGGGCCCCGGGGTGCCCCAGTCCCTCTGTGGAACAGAGATGGCCCAGGGGGCCGACACCTCCACACCGAGCATCCTCTTCCCTGCGTGGAGCTCCCTTGTACACACCAGAACCGAGGAGATGGCATGGGAGGGAAGACCAGGTGGAGAAAACCCCCCGATGAGTCTGACTGAACATGGCAGCGCTCCTCAGCAAGCCTCCACTGTGCCGGTGAGGGCGGCAAGGAGATCATCCTTTTCTGCCAGCATCACGTCCTCTCAGGGCCGCCCAGCGGAGCCGTTCCAAGTGGCTCCCAGCCTTTTCCAAACTGGCCCAGGGAAGGAAATCGTGGCACCCTCGGTGGATCTGCACGCACCGCTCTTGGAGGGCAAAGTCACCCGGATCCGACACCAAGTCAGTGCATCTTCTCGGTCAGAGACATCCAGGGCACCGATGGGTTTCAGTTACTGAGGCCCGAGGATGCGGACAAGCTGCTTGGACTGGTTCGGCCCACCCGTATGTGTGACCCCCGCCCATCCTGGCCGGTCACGCAAAGTAAAGAGGGGCTGCGCCTCTGGGTCCAAGAGGCTGCGGCCACCTCAGGGAGAGGAGGAGCGGCCCCAGCGTCACGGGAAGAGGCTGTGATCAGACCACTCCTGAAAAAGGCCAACCTGGCGCCAGAAGCCATTCATAACCACTGACCGGTCCCTGACATCTCCTTTTGGGGCAAGGCGTTTGAGCAGGTGCTGGGCACCTCCAGGCACGCTTGGGTGGAACAGCCCGTCCTGATCCATTGCCATCAGGGCCCAGGCCTGGGCTGGGAACCCTTGGTCACCAACTGGGATCACTTTTGCCAGGAGAGACATGACCCTGTTGGTTCTCCTGGATCTCTCGGAGGCTTTCAGTCCTATCAACCACGGTGTCCCTCTGGACAGGCTGACTGGGCTGGGAGTCAGAGGCAGCGCTTTGCAGTGGTTCTGCTCCCACTTGACCAGGCTGATTTCGGAAGGCGGTGCTGGGGGGCCATCGCTCTGCGCCGTGGCATTTACGGCCTCTGCCTTATCCCCTGTACTTTGGGGAGAGATGTCATCAGTACGCTGATGGCCCCCAGCTCTACCTTCCTTCTTCATCTGACGCAGGTGAGGCAAGGCATCTTCTGAACCACGGTCTGGGCCTGGCAATGGACTGGAGGGTGTAGGCGAAGGGATGCTTTGTTGCGAAGGGACATCACAGCTGCCCCGGGCAGGATTGCCTGGCCTCTCCTGTAAAGGGCAAGGTTCGTCGTCTGGGGGACTCCTGGATCCCAAATCATCGCAGGGATTGCAGGAGCATTTGCTGCCCAGGGGCCCTTTTCATCAGCCGAGGCTGATCTACTTGCCACGACCCCATCTGGAGGGCTGCTCAAGCACTGGCAACCTCTCCTCTGGCTTCTTCCTGACAGTCAGGACCCCCAGGATGTGGAATGGGCTTCCACAGGAGGTGGCTGAGGCCCCATCAGTGAGGCTGTTCAAGGATAGGCTGGACGTGCCCATGGTGGGCATGTCGTGAGCGGAGCTTGCTGGAGCTGGGGTCAGACTAGACGGCCCGGGAGACACCTCCTGACTCGCTCTGTTTCTATGTTTCCTGCCATGCTCTCTACACTGGACTGCCTCTGAAGACGGTTCGGAAACTTCCTCTGGTCCAGAATCGAGCAGCGAGGCCGCTGACAAGGACGGGCAGACGAGATCCTGCAATGCTAATCCTCTGTCATCTCCACTGGTTGCCAACTGAAAACCAGGCCCGGTTCAAGGCACCACCATGAGTGTCTAAGGCCCCGAATGGCTTGGGGGCCAGGGCTCCGAAGGAGCGCCCCTGCCCATGTATGCCCATTCAGCCCGTAGATCATCTCTGGCGGTCCCTCTCAAGGAGCCCCCTCCTCAAGAAAAAGGGGGCACAAAGAGTGGGCCCTTCCACTAGTGACACGCTGACTCCGGCACCAGCTCCGCAGAGGCTTGCCTGGCGCCTTCGCTTTACCCCTCCTGGTTTGTGATGTAAAATGTGTTGCAATCCATTGTTGTGCCTTTAGGTTCGTTGGAGAAAATTTTAAGGGTTCGTGAAGTTTAACTGACAGTCAGGACCCCGAGGGTGCGGAATGGGCTTCCCCGGGAGGTGGCTGAGGCCCCATCGGGGAGGGTGTTCAAGGACAGGCTGGACGTGCACATGGTGGGCATGTCGTGAGCGGAGCCGGCTGGAGTCGGGGTCAGACTAGATGGCCCCGGAGACCCCCTCTGGCTCACTCCATTTCTATGTTTCTGTGTTAACCCTGCTCTTTCAAAGGAACCATTACTCCCTCCAAAACAGGCTGAATTATTCCCATCTGGTCCAGTGATGCAGCTAAGCACCAGTTCAGCGCAATCGCAGCCTCACCTGATGAAGGAGAAAAGAAGAAAGAGAGCCAAGCGTCATCAGCTCTGGCGAAGCACTCAAAGAACTCTGGCTGGTCCCATGCAGTGGCTTCATGTAGAAGGTGGATGGTACGGAGGGGCAAGAGTGACCCCTTAAGGACCCCACGGAGGAGTCCACGAGGGAGCGCGGCACGTCTCGCAGTGCAGTGTCAGAGCAAGCGCCACCTTCTGGAGCCAGCTGTCCAGGCAGGAGTGGACCCACGGCGATGCGGTGCCCCCGCATCCCCAGCGCAAACAGCCTCTCCAGAGGGATTCCATTCCATGGGATTAGAAGCCATAGAAAGATCCGGAAAAGGCAACTCACTCCTGGCACAGGCCAGCATACAGGCTGGCCAAGGCTGCGTGCAGGTCAGGGCCCATCCTGTCCTCGGGCGGGAGGGGATCCAGACCACCAGCCGCATCCAGGCGTGCCTGGGGCCGGGCCAGCGGCCTTCTGGCTCAGGCCATTCCCGCTCTGTTCCATCAGCCCCGGGGCACGCCAGGGAGCCACCCAGGCTCCGAGACACAGGGGGGCCCGGGGCGAGTGTGTCAATGGCGGGGCGATCCCTGCACCCCAGAGTTCCACCAGGGATGCAGCAGGCCTGCCGGCCGTATCAGCTGGAAAACCTGGACCCACTGGAAGCCCTCCAGACCCATCGGGCCGCAGGAGGGGGCAATTTTAACAGGGCCCCCACCCTTGCAGGGGGGAAAACTTGCCATCAGTCTAAATCCCAACAGGCGGTGACCGGCTCGTGACAAAGGGGCCAGTTCAAGGTCATCCACCTTCAGGTCACAATCCCTCTCTCTGGCGGAAAACCCCCAAATACGATTCCAAGTCTCAGACTGCGTGTGAGTTAACAGCAAAAAAGCAGGTGCCATCTGGGGCTGCAGTGTTACAAGGACCACTTCCAAGACGAGTGAAGCACTAGCTCCCCTCTGCTCAGCACTGATTCCCGTCTATCCTGCCATATAAAGTGACTTGCATATAAAACGAGGTGAATATTTTGGACTGTTTTTCTGGTGCTTGTCATATGTCAGGTGTTTAAGATAACCTCCATTTTTTGCTTCAGTATTTTCGGTTTCAGGGGTCATCTTCTATACCAATACATATGGTAATAACATGTGGAACAGATAACCAGGAAGTGAATTTCAGAAAAATACTTGCATATATTGGTGTAGAAGGGGACTCATGTAAAAGGCAATGTCAGTATATTGGGCTGTTTTTATATGTTGGGCATATAAGATGATCCCCAAATTCTGATTTC